AGATAGACAGGAGACATATTTTCTTTCACACAAAGACCAACTTCAGTATTCATTTCCTTCTGGCCAGCAAAAAGGGATGGGAACACAGGAAGACTGTTTTGTTTTATTCTTCTGGGTTTTTTGAGCAAACATACCAGATACAAGTATAAACAAGTAAATGCTAACAAAACATAATAAAAGAAAACAAAACTATTTTGGTGAGAAGTTCTGAAGACCTGTATGACTTGGCTCATGAGGCTCCTGGTTTCAATATTTTCAGTGTTTTTGTTTTTGTTTGTGCATACTGGGGTTTAGCTCAGATGTGTTATGTCATTGGGGGTCGCCCTCTTGAATTTTTGCTATATGTTCCTCTATTTTTCAGTATATAAAATCCAGGATTGTTGGACCTATAGGGATAAGAAATAAAATACGTGCTTCTGGGGGATGCAATAGTGTTGGTGGTGGTGGGGGGTGTGTGTGTGCACATGTGTGTAAAAGGAGCTGTCAAGGAGTTCAAGAAGGAAAACAATGCTTTGAAACTGATTGTGGTAGCATTTGTACAATACTGCTTGTCGTGATTGGACTCTGGAATGATATCTGTATTAACTCCCAATAAAATGATTTTGAAAAAAGAGAAAGAGAGTCCAAGAACTTAGACTACCTCAGCCCTGGGGAGGTTGTATCTAAATTGTTTGGGGCTATTTCCTAACTGCCCTGCCTGTCTAGCAGAGAGTCCGCTGTGATACCACTCCATCCACCCTCCCTCCCCATGCTCTGGGCCCATTGAGAATCCTGACAGCTGAGATCACTACTTCTGATATACGTCTCTCAAGCACATTGAGGGGAAGAAAAATAGTTAAAAACCACTGGTTAATGTGATTTTCTTTTTTCTTATACTCTATTATTGATACCTCTATCATAAAATTCATCACAGTATTTATAAAATTGCGTATGGGGAAAATCTGTGTTTCCTGATAATTTCATGCTCATATTGAGATGCCACTTGGTGGAAGCCTTGAGTGACTGCAAAACAGCTCTTGGTGTTTGGTGGCCTCTACATCATTCCTCTGGTCAACCCAAGGTCAGAGGCCATTCGTTCCCTCAATTCACAGCCATTTTGGAAACACTCCCTGAACCGCAGTGCAGTGATGCTTGAATAGACTCCAAAGTCCTCTTGTTCCCTCTTGTTTCCCAGATTTCTCCTAGTCTCTCCAGTCCATATGCTGTCATTGTTACTGCTGCTGCGGTTGGGTACCATCCAGTTGGCCGCAACCATTTGTGATCGGTGCACAACAGAATGAAGCAATGCCCAGTCTTGTGCCATGTTCACGACTGTGCCTATGCATAAGTCCATGGTCACAGCCACTGAGTCAACCCATCGCCTGGAGGGGCTGTTCTTTTTTAATGCCTCTCATTTACCAGGTGCTGCTGGGACTCGTCTCTCCTGGCAAAATGTCCAAAGTATGTAAGACAAAGTCTCCCCATGAATGCAGAGCTGTTAAAATGATCTTTCTCAAACATTCTATTCATCAGCTTCATGTTCTACTTTACAATATATAATGATTATTTACTATGAACTAAAGCCCAATATTGTCAGTCTGAGCTCCAAATTCTTTCATGATTTTTCCCAAACTTCAACATAATAGTTAGGTATATAACTCTGAACCATCTTCTTTTCCTAAAGAGGTTCATCATCTGTAATACAACTTATAGAAATAGTTTAGACTGAACTTTTTTGGTGAAGAAGTCTATAATTCATAGAAATCAGGATGGCCATTATCATGAGCTATTGCTTACCTTTAAAGAAACTGTCCTATGTATTTGTCTTCAAAGGACACTTTAGATTTCCTAATGGATCACTCTGGATTATTTTACAAAATGGATTCAGAAATCACATCACGTTCATACATTCTTGTGTTCTATCCAAACTACAAAGGATATATTTAAGACAATTACACCCTGACAGAATTCTTGCTGCATTGAGCCTGGCCTAGTCAATGTGTCTGAATTACAGTGAACAAAAAGAGAGTGTCGGGAAGGGGTCAGGGAAATAACGAGGTCAAATTCTGGAAAACGTTGCAAATGCATAACTGAAATGACGGATACTATTGTAGGTTATACTTCGTGAGACGCCATTGGAGCAAAGACATATTTTGACTTGCATTTTAATACATTCACTCAGCTGCTTTGTTGAGAATAAAGTGGTTTAAGATGAAGAGGGATGAAAACATCAGGGAGCGCATTTGAAAGACTGTGAAAATCTAGGAGACAGATAATGGAGCTAGCAGTAAAGGGATCGTGAGTTAGGTGTTGTGGATTTATTGTAGATTTATTGTGAAGGTAGAGCCAGTGGGATTTGCTGACATATTGTGAATGTGAGATGGCGAGACGAGAGGAAACAATCAAACATTCCAAAATCTAAGATAAAGGGTGGGACATTTAATGTATAACTTAATGTAATATACTAATTTTGCAAAGTGACTTAGTATGTCTCTCATGATTTTTCTTTCCACTGCTATGTGACTTAAATACTTGGTA